GGCGCACGAACCTCGCGTGTGACCTTTTCACTGCTCCTCTTTGTTGGTGGAGAAGATGAGTATATCGTCTAGGTACACAAGGATTTTGCCGCCGACGATGAGATCGTGGAAGATCTCATTCATCATCGCCTGGAAGGTCGCGGGGGAGTTGGTGAGACCGAAGAACATCACCAAGGGCTCGTACAACCCTCGGTTAGTTACAAACGCCGCCTTCCACTCGTCACCGGCTTTGATCCGGACGTTGTTATATCCCCACCGGACATCGAACTTCGTAAAGAGCGTAGCACCGCGGAGCTTGTCCACCATTTCGGCGATCAACGGCAAGGGGTAACGATTCTTGACCGTGATCGCATTCAATCGGCGGTAGTCCTGCACGGGTCGAAGCGTCCCTTCCTTCTTTTTGATGAAGAAGAAAGGCGACGAAATGGGCGACTTCGATTCCCGTATGTAACCTTTCGCTAACTGCTCCTTCAGGAACTTGTCAAGTTCCTCCTGTTCATTGTTTGACAGGGGGTACACTTTCGAGTGGAACGTCGAGTAGCCAGGCACAAGTTCGATCGCGTGATCGTAAGGCTTCCTTTCGGGCAGCCGCTCTGATGCTTCCTTGGAGAAAACATTCACGAACTCGTGGTACTGTTTAGGTACCGACTCCTCGGCGGTCTTAACGACCTTCTTTCTGATTTCTTCCTCAGCGAACAGCTGGGAGTACGTATGCCCTGCTGCGACGAATAGCTGAGGAGCGCCGGGAAGCGTGATGCCTTGTTCCCAGGCTTCGATCAGATCGGCCTCATTCCACTCTACTTCCGCCGGATCTTCTTCGGGTTCGAAGTCCGGGAGTACCTTACTCCGGCAGGCACCTATGACCGACCATTTGGACTTTGGCGAACGCCTGCGCGCCGTGGGCCTATCCCCCATATCACGCGTGGTCGCTGCTTGCTCCATTCGGCCAGTCTTCCTGGCACTGCACGTTTCAGGGCATCGTGATAACTTTAGGGAGCCTGACTCCCAATCAATCTCAGGGTTGTGCTCTCGTAACCAATCCAACCCGACGATCACATCCTCTGGACCTATGTCCGTGACCGTAAACACCGTCTTCTCGACGTGATCTCCTATCTGCATCTGTAGTACGGCTACCTCCGAGATGCTTCCGTCTTTATTGAGCGTTCCATCGATATTGTAAAGCGGAATTGGCTCTTTCAATTTCCGCGTTCGTACTCGATTCTCCGTGATGAAACGCTTGTTGATGAACTTCGTGGTGGCTCCACTGTCCACCATTGCGACTATATCCTTGTGCCGTCTTTCTCCTTTAAGGCGCACCGGGATGTGGAAATGCTGGGACCCATGGTCCAACTCGTACACATTTGCGGTCGCCAATACATTGTACAGATTGTTACTACGCGGTCCGACGCGTGCGGCACGAAGCGCGGACCGGATTAAAAAGACTCCTCCTTCATGGCCCGATAATGCTCGAGCTCCTCGCGCATTGACTTCATCTGTGCTATTAAGTCCGCCAGCTCGGAACTTTCCGATTTCGCTGAAGCGGCACTTGTACTCGCCGAGGATGAAGCGACGGGGGCGCTTGTCGCCGCCTGGGTGGAACCCGAGGCAACCGTAGCCCGCGCGTCAGCGCGTTTTGTGTAAGGCTTATCCTTACAATTAGGGCACTCAAAACGACGGTACCCTTGCTTCCCGCAGCCAAAGCATGTGCCAGGGAAGTCTCCTTTTCCGACGGCCGCATTGATGCTGGCCGAAGCTGCGTGCGATGAGGGTGCACCACCACGTGCCCCACCGCGACCTCGACCCCGGGCCGAGAAGAAGCTGTTTAACTCGGGCCGCCGGGCCCGGCTGATGTCGAGGATCTGCTCGACCTCAGTGGCTCGCTTTTCAGCGGCTCGCCACATGGTGAAGGTCTCGAGCTCGATCTTGCGATATATGCGGGAGGGGATGCCGCTCAGGTACTTGTCGCGTAGTTCCAGGTCCCCATACCCGGAACGGTCCGCTGGACCCTTGAACAGCGCGGAGAACTCCGCAGCGGTGCGTTTTTCGCGGACCGACTTGTCCGCACAGAGCTTCGCCAGCTCTACTTGGGCTGCTGCCGCATCGTCGAGATTTCCGAAGCGGGCCTTAAAGGCAGCGGTGAAGGCCGCTTCGTTCCTGAAGGGGGTCGTGACCCCTTGTACTCCCATCTGTACTGACGCGAGTTGGGCGAAGTACGGCGTGGCCCAGGCGCGGGCATCGCCATTGAGCAGGCTTAGCGCAACTTGTACCTTAAGCTCAATGGTTGTCAATGACGTGTTGATCAACCAGTAGATACGAAGTTGCGACAAGAATCTGTCGCACTCGATGACGGTTTTGCCGTCATAGTGGAGGGGGAGAAGAAGCTTCAGGGTCTCCTTGTCGGGGGCGGCTGTGGGGGAAGACATTACCGGCGTCGGGGGGGACGGAGGACGCTGCGGGGGCGGAGGCGGCTGTGGTGGCCTTCCGCTGGTCGAACTTCGAGAGGAGCGAGTGCTCGAGCGGCCTCTCGGCGGAGTCGGCGGTGAAGGTGCCGAAGGAAGTTCGGCAGCGGGGTTACGTACGTCAGGGACTGCTGATGTGGGGGCGAGCGCTGTCGGCGAGGTGGACCCAACAGAATCCTCGGACTCGGACTCCGAGACTCCTTCTTCACCTTCACCCTCCTCAGGCTCTGGCTCTGGCGCAGGGTCTGGAGGGAGATCTCCTCGCGCTTGACCTGGATCGGCGACGACAGTTTGAGGGAGGCGGGAGCTGGGGAAGACAGGGCAAGAGTGCCGCGAGGCAGATCGGGATGCAAGGGTGCTTCGCGGACCGAGCGGATGTTGCGCTCATCGGATCGCCTTGTAGCGTGGGTAGTCCTCTGGGATTGATCGGGGTGTTCGGTTCGGGCACGGTTGCTGCTCGCAACGGTAGATGATAGTTTCAGGACCGTCTGGGATGTAGACGTCGATGAGGTCCTGTGAGTCGAATGCGTGGACTTGGCCTTGGCAGGCAGCCACGTTGGATGGGGGTAGGAAGGGGAGGTGCGCGTACTACGAAAGGCCGTGCTATACTAGCCTACACCTACGGCGCCCGAGATGACACTGAGATTCGCAGTTCACGTAGGGCCCAATACTGCTTTTGACTATTATGCAGCAGGAACCAAGGCTACGCGTCCGTGAGGACAAGTACCGCTCACTGAAGCGCAGGTACTGAAGAGTTCGTCTCTCTAGTGTTGGCGATGTATAGTATGCTATCTACGTGTCGTAGGGTACAGTAGGGGTGCGCACCACCCAGCCTATGGGAAAGGAGAGTGAGTGTGTGGGGTTCCGAGGAACGCCGGCAGCTTGGTGGAGTTTCGACCTAGTGTCGCGACTTGAGGTCTAGCGACGGGGGAAAACCTAAAAGGAGCTGGGGGCGTTCGACTGATTCTCACCGAAGCGATGGTGAGCGATGCTCAAACCTAAGGCTAGGGACAAGTTAATATATTAGTGAGGTAAGAAAAGGAATACAAAGGATGCTTACTGACCTAGGGACAAGAGGTCGAAACTGAGGTCCCTAGGGCAGCAGAGGCCGGCTTATATACATGGGGAGATTAGGGCAGGCTGTGCACGTTGGTCCGTGCGCAGCTGGTTTGTGCGCAGCATGCCGACGCGGCCCCGGGGGCCGGTGAGTCAGAGCGGCTGTGTCAGCGGGGCCCGAGCTGTGCCGTGCGCTGCCGCTCCATCTAATCTAATCGTACAGTAGATAGTGACGCGTCCATATCCGGTATGTAGTACAGAGGTTGCGGGTTCGAGCCCGCGAAAAGGAAGAAATTAAAAAACGGCTAGACGCCGTACCAACTCGTGACACCCTTATTTACATTATTTACACCTCTATTCAGACAGCCCTGTAAAAAAGTGTAAATTACTTGTAAATTACCTGTAAAAAAGTACGGTGTAATTTACGCTGATTTATTTGCCTTACACTAGATGATATATCATCTGACGCTGGCCACCGTAAAGACATGATCGCGATTCTTGTGATCACATGCTCTATATACCCTGTCACATGATCAACGGAAAAACCCAATTTGCCTAATTCGACATTTTAGAGTTCACTGTGTCGAGTTAATGGCCTCAGATCAAAACATCTACTAAGGGAGCACTAGTGGCATTCATGCGATACATCTACAGATTGCCTTCAAGATAACCCACCTAATCATAACCTGACCTTAACCTAGCTTAACCTAACCTGACTTAACCGGACATAACCCTAACTTTATCTAACTTAACTGAACCTAACTGCCAAAAGGGGGCATGTTCAGATTGGGAACAGTAGCTGCAGTCAGTGGATGTCACGAGTTGGTACGGCACCTCGCCGTTTTTTAATTTTTCCTGTTCGCGGGCTCGAACCTGCGACCTCTGTACTACCTGCCTGATACGGACACATTGTTATCTACTGTACGATTAGATTAGATAGGACGGCAGTGCGCGGCACAGCTCGGGCTCCGCTGACACAGCCGCTCTGACTTACCGGCCCCCGGGGCCGCATCAGCATGCTGTGCACGGACCAGCTGCACACGGACCAGTGCACACAGCCTGCCCTTAATCTCCCCTGTATATAAGCAGGCCTCTGCTGCCCTAGAGACCTCAGTTTCGACCTCTTGTCCCTAGGTCAGTAAGCCCCCAGTTGTATCCTTTTTCTTACCTTACTAACTAATACATGTACTTGTCCCTAGCCTTAGGTTTGAGTGTTGCTCACCATTGCTTCGGTAAGATCTAGTCGGACGCCCCCAGCCTTTTAGTTTTCTCCAGTCGCTTGACCTCAAGTCGCGACATTAGGTTAAAACTCCCCAAGCTGCCGGCGTCCCCTCGGGACCTCTTACATTCACATTCCTTTCCCACAGGTCGGGTGGTGCACACCCCTACGGTACATTACGATACGTAGATAGCGTACATACATCGCCACCACTTAGGGAACGAACTCTTCAGTACCTGCACTTCAGTGGGCGGTACTTGTCCTCACGGACGCATGGACTAGGTTCCTGCTGCATAATAGTCAAAAGCAGTACTGGGCCCCACGTGAACTGCGAACCCTAGTGTCTTCTCGGGCGCCATAGCATAAGCTAGATAGCACGGCCATTGTAGTATGCGCACCTCCCCGTCCTTCCCTCATCCATTGTGGCTGCTTGTCAAGGCCAGATCCACGTGTTCGACTCCCAGGACCTCATCGACGTCTACATCCCAGACGGCCCTGAGACTGTCCTCTATCGTTGCGAGCAGCAGCCGTGCCCAAATTGGACACCCCGATCGATCGAGGAAGATTACCCTCGTTACAAGGCGATCCGACGAGCGCAACATCCGCTCGGTCCGCGAAGCACCCTTGCATCCCGATCTGCCTCGCGGCACTCTTGCCCTGTCTTCCCCAGCTCCCGCCTCCCTCAAACTGTCGTCGCCGATCCAGGTCAAGCACGAGGAGATCTCCCTCCAGACCCTGCGCCAGAGCCTGAGCCTGAGGAGGGTAAGGGTGAAGAAGGAGTCTCGGAGTCTGAGTCCGCGGATTCTACTCGGTCCGCCTCGCCGACAGCGCTCACCCCCGCGTCAGCAGTCCCTGACGTACGTGACCCCCCCGCCGAACTTTCTCCGGCGCCTTCACCGCCGACTCCACCAAGAGGCCGCTCGAGCACTCGCTCCTCTCGAAGTTCGACCAGCGGAGGGCCACCACAGCCGCCTCCGCCCCCGCAACGTCCTCTGTCCCCCCCGACGCCGATAATGTCGTCCCCCGCAGCCGCCCCCAACAAGGAGACATTAAAGCTCCTCCTCCCACTCCGATACGATGGCAAAACAGTCATCGAATGCAACCGGTTCCTGTCGCAGCTGCGCATCTACTGGCTGGTCAACACGTCGTTGACCACCATCGAGCTTAAGGTGCAGGTCGCACTCAGCCTGCTCGATGGAGATGCCCGCGCCTGGGCCACTCCCTACTTTGCCCAGCTCGCATCGGTGCAGGTGGGTGTGCAAGGGGCCACGACCCCGTTTGCAAACGAAGCGGCCTTTGCCGCCGCCTTCAGGGCCCGCTTCAGAAATCTCGACGACGAGGTGGCAGCACAAGTAGAGCTGGTGAAGCTCTGCACGGACAAGTCGGTCCGTGAAAAACGCACCGCTGCAGAGTTCTCCGCGCTGTTCAAGGGTCCGGCGGATCGCTCTGGGTATGGGGACCTGGAGCTACGCGACAAGTACCTGAGCGGCATCCCCTCCTGCGTGTACCGAAAAATCGAGCTCGAGACCTTCACCACGTGGCAAGCAGCTGAGAAGCACGCCACTGAGGTCGAGCAAATCCTCGACATCAGCCGAGCCCGTCGGCCCGAACTAAATAACTTCTTCTCAGCCCGAGGTCGAGGACGCGGTGGGGCACGTGGTGGTGCACCCCAGTCACACGCAGCTTCGGCCAGCATCAATGCGGCCATCGGAAAAGGCAACTTCCCCAGCACATGCTTCGGCTGTGGGAAGCAAGGGTACTGTCACAGTTTCCCTAATTTTACCTAATTTTTCCGCTATTTCTGCGGACATGTCAAAGGGTATAGGGACTTATCCATACTTATCCGTCCGCATATGGGTACATCTACATATCTAAGGGGTTATCCGCTTAAATAAGCGACACATGATCTTGTTCTGGACACATCAGGCTGGACTCTGATGCCGGACCTTTTCTAGATAGAAACCAGACTCCTTCTGGACCATGACATCATTCTGACATCATAGGTAGGAGCTAGGCTCAGGCACTAGGCCATAGGCCGGTCAATTCTGGACCCTAGGCCCAGGGCAGGGCAGGGCCAGACTATGACATCATATATGACATCATAGAGCACATGATACTTAGTAATCCTTACCCAGCTAGGTACCAGGGGTCCATTACCGGTCCCTGGGGGGTTTTCCCTCATGTATATAAGGCAGCATCCTGGGGCACCCTGTCCCCCAGTTCTATTCACTTCGTTGTTGCGCTTAACAGCATTACCTCCCCATACTTAAGTGCTATTATCTCCCCCCCTCAATATCAAGCTATAAGGTGGGTTTGTAGGTTTTGTGATAGTTGAATAGAACTGCTTTAAGGTGCACTGGGCCCTGGCAAGGGTCCCTTGCTACCTGCTTTGTTACAGGGCCTATTGGTCGTTGCTATGCCCCTATGCTGCAAAGCGTAAGGTGGCCTTTTCATGTGGGTTCTGGGGGTTATGGTTTGTCAACTGAAAAGTGGCAATACCTTTCTGCGAAGCACCTACCTTTATTGGTTAGGGTTGAACAATTAGTGTCAACAT